ACCCCAACAGGCAAGACTGTTGACGTATGTTCGGTACCTCACGCTGTTAGAAAGCTGACTTCACGCGTTCGGCTATTTGGACTCAACATAAGTCTATTAGGGGGACGTTTAGTCCTTGCTGGCCTCCTGGTATTCTTCTATCTGACTGTGATTTGTTTCTGCTATCGTCAGTGTCCTCCCTGCATGCCTTAGCAGGTGAATTTTTCCATTAACATTCTTTTGGTGCAGGACAGTGCCCTGTCCATAATCAAAGGCATCGGTCTGGGCGATGGTGTCATTTCTCCATTTGACTTGAGAGCAGTGTCGAATTCCTGGTTCTAGCCTTACTCCTCATAACATGTTCGTGGCAGTCCTCTGAACAGACGAGTGGACTGCAGACAAGTTGATCTAGGGGTCCATGTGGAGCCTTCATTTTCTGAAAGGCAAGTACACTCTTACGTTCTGATGTTAACCTGGCCCCAGAACGACAAGAGTGTTGACTCGTGTTCTGTGCCGTCCTAACATTTTCTATTTTTCCCTGCCCCTCCAGATGATTGAACGCCAGATGTGGTACGACGATTCACCGTTATGGCAACTTGCAACCTCAGGGAGAAGTCGTCTGTTGGAACGAGTCGACGAAATGCGCCTCACTGTTGACCGCATCCGTGAGATGGGCCCGAATGAATTGAGTAAGTTCAGAGTCCCCCCCCCAGACCTGCCTACCAGCTGCAAATTGATGGTTTTGATGTTTAATGTTAAAAAACTCTTTTTGTCTTAATTTCAGGGGATATTCTACGCTACGAGGGTAAAAGTGGAGCGCAGACTGTTTTCGAAATGGCACAGTCCATGCCTATCCTGCGAATGTCCGTGGACACGCAACCAATAACTCGCAACATCATTCGATGCCACATCAAACTGGAACCGGATTTCACCTGGGTGCTTTCACAGCATGGACAACAACTAATTTATTGGATTTGGATTGAAGATCCGGAGGAGGCCACCATTTATCACTCAGAAGTCTTCACTCTGCAGAGAAAAGTGGTGAGATTTTTCTCCAATTTCGTTGTATGTTTTTGCTTGCGTTAATATCCCCATTTTCCTGCAGTTTACATCAAAACCATCTCATCTCGTCCATGCAAGTTAAATCACGTTGAATGCCTACTTATAATATTT